AAGGCTCGGCCCGGCAGACAACATTACAAACGACGCGCAACTCTTGGGCTAGCCCAAAACACCTAAACGATAGGCCAGAAGGACAATCCAATCTTCGACCGGAAGGCCTCATGAAAGAGGAACAACGCTCGCTTCCGTCACCGGCCCACCTTCGGATGGCCTCTCCGACCGGAAGGCCTGGCCAAAACACCACTTCCGACTCTGATCCGCTTCTCCGACCCAGAATGCGTTGAACCCCTGCTTACAGCTCCTCTCCGACTAGCGCAATCAGAGCCGACTAGGAGCAACTGACCGGGGACGCCCGCTCTGTAAGGACCAGGAAAAGGATGGAGAAATTAAGGCAGGGCACTCAAGTCAACTGCAATACCAAGTACCGTACCCTGTACGCCTACAGGACAGTACCCTATGACCTTTCTGGCATGGGAGAACCGAAGTAGTGTTGTTGGCGCCGATATTTTTCCCTACAGTGTTGTGGGCGCCATCAATTCTCATACCAGATAAATACGGTAAGGCTCCCCCCACGTGCCTCTGAGGCATCAACAATGTTGTGGGCGCCGGCATTTACCGTGCTAGGTGAACATGGTAAAACCCCTTGCATGCCTCTGGATATCAACAGTGTGGCAAGCACCGACGTCTACCGTACCTGAAGAAGACGACGCAACCTTCCACGTGCATCTGACATTAAACAGTATTATGGGCGCCTACCATCATCTTGTACCCGTCGACGTGGGCAACAAGACTTAATAGCATACGCACTCTCTCCCTCTCACTTGTAAAGGCCATCCCCTTCATCTATAAAAGGAGATGCGCTCTCTCCCAAAAAGAGATCGATCAGTTCACTTACATTGATTCACCCTTTGTAACTTTAGACATTCTAAAGCTATACCGAGCGCACGCTCGAACATTTAGCACATAGCGAGGCTCCCGTCACTCTTGGCCCTTTAGACCAGAGTCCGACCGACCTCTTGTACCCTATCTTTCTCCCTTCCGTTTGTAACCCCATATCAAATTTCGAGCATCTGGGCTCAGGAATAAAGTCACCGACCGACTCAAACTAGACGTAGGGCACGTTGCCTGAACCAGTATAAACCCTGTATCATTGAGTGCTAGGCCACCTCTGATCACAACGTACAGCAAAACTATAAATATTTACGTGTTGGCCACTTTCTGCACCGACACTACTAGAAGACATCCACTCATGATTGGTGAAGATCTCGAATGCTAGGGTCTTCAATGTAGGACATGCCACCTTAATCTTGGGCGTAAACCAAATGCAGCTTGAATCACTCTCCAAGCAAAGAGCGCCACATAACAGTTAAAGAGGAGGTGTCAAATGGTCTCTTTACTGTTGCACCTTTTGGTTTACTAACTTTTTATACATTTTAATTGCTTCGTGAAAATACCATTCTTATTGAGTTCTACTTAAACTTATTTTGTTGGCTATACATACTTCTGAACTTTCCGTAGCTTATGCAATAGAACTTGTTCTCTAATTTTAGTTTACGATTATCTTAGGGCGCCTTTGGCAAGCATGAACGTTTCCGATTCTGCCGTGGATCCCACGAATCAGTGCCAAACGAAATAAGGCACAGCGTTTTGGTCAAGAAACCAGTGCAACGATTCTCATTTTTTACGCTATGCTGGTGAAACGGCCTAGGAGTAGTTTCATTCGATTGTGTTTCTTCCCTCTCCTCTTCATTAGCAATTGTATTTTTTCCCATTTTCCTTTCTAAGTGCAACAAATTAAAATGAATAGTATTTAAGTAGATCTTCAACCATAAAAAATTCTTATTTTTTGGGAACATTTCTTATTAATATTATTTTTTATATAAAAAATAATTTCTTTAGGGATCATAATCTAACCTACCATCCAAACGATCTTACAAAGTCATCATCTGAAACATTTCTAGAGAGAAGCCAGATCTAAAATATTTCTATGAGAATCTAGATCCTTACTAAACACAACCTTATATACTTGACAACTACAGCTACAACAAAAGATGGTAGCTCCTGATGATACGTTAAGGACATGTTTGGTTGCCCTGACGTTGCGCTCCTATACCTGCCCAGCTGTAGAATCTTTGAGAGAAGTAAATTTGCTACCTATCAAATTTATGGCTCCTCAGTTGCAAATATATGGCCGCATCCTACACCTCGCGGTGTGGCCAAATCGAGAGCCTGGCCCCGCAGATGCAGCGCACAGGCAATGGCCCACACGTCAGTCTCATGTAAATAATCTATATATTCGCTTATACAAGCAACCAAATATTTTTGTTCACAAGAATTACTGTATCCACATATACAAACCAACTGAACACTCTTATGTGAGGTTTCGGCTTGTGGAACAGGTTCACATGGCTATCTCGTACCTATAAGGGCACTCAAACCTAAAATAGGTCTTCGATGGTAGTGTATCGGCTCCAACAAAGTACTTATATTATAGACACATTTTAGATGGCAGGTGAGGCACAACCCAAATACGAACATGCTTTCTCCTTAAAATCCATTTTGCAGAAATGATTCTCTTTTAGGTCCTGTGTTGAGAAAACTAAAAATAAGTATTGAATCATTTGTCTGTAGCGCTACCCAAATATTAAATTGGTCTTATATTTTGGATATGTTGTTGGAGATAGTGATAGAGTCTAATGGGCTGGTTTGGTTTGGGGTAGTACCTATAATAATTTGGTTGGGTTTGGAATTGGTTTCAGGCATCATGGTAGAGGTGGCAGCATCTTTGTCGCGCGTCAACCCGTGGTATATCGCTGCCTGAAGTAGCCAGGAGTTTATAGAACACTCCCAGCCCAAGTGTAACACGCACTGGCATACTACCGCAGCGGCATACTTGTACACGTAATGTATAGGCTAGCTCAAGAGATACACGCATACGTATAGACTTGCTAGCTTTAAGAAAGATGCTACCAATATTAATCTGTATGCCAACATACACGTACATACTTGCATGGCCATGCACAAAGTGACGAGTCTCTTCATGGAAGCACATAATCGAGATGTTGGTTGGGCTAACAGGTTCGAGACCGCGGTCCAAGGAATCAAATGTGGTTTGGTCTGGTTTTAACTAGCAGGCAGTTTGGTTGGGTTTGGATCGAGGAACAGAAATGGTGGGGTGGGGTGGATTGGCTGGACAAATGGTGGGGGTGGCTTGGCTCGACGTTACCTGACGTAAATAGTCTATGTGACCACTTATACAAGAAACCAAACATTCGTCCGTCCCTGCCCATCCGGACGCGGCCCCCAGATGTGCGATGGACTGGCCCACGCCCCCCTTAACTCCTCTTGTCCGTTTCTAATAAAAAAACGATCGTCGCTCTTATTTGCTCGTTGCTCCTATCTACTCGTCGCTCCTATCCGCTCGCCTGCCGCCTCCGAGGAGCAGTGCATGGCCACTGGATTGCCAGGCGCGACGCACAGCCGCCTCCGAGCCACAGCGCTCGGCTGCCGGCCCTGCCTGCCAAGTGCGGCGCCCGGCTGCCTCTGAGCCGCGGCTGCCCTCTGGCTCCCTGTCGCGTTGTGTGGCTACCTTCCTGCCGTCTCGCGAGCCAGCCCCCCGCGTACAAGCGCCGTCGGGCCGCTGCCTCCGACGAACTCCACACGCTGACGGTTCTCCATGCGATGTGCTGAAAATGCATGTTGCAAACGTATGTTTCATGTGTTTTAGCTGTCTCATAGGTATGTTGCAACTGTTTCATGCGGATGTTGCAAAAGTAGATCGAGATGTTACATATGTTGCAATGGTTGTACATGTATGTTGCAAATGTCTGTTTCCAATGTTTCATTTGTTTTTTAATGTATGTTGCAAGTGTGTTTTATTTGGATGTTGCATACGTTTCACACATATGTTGCAAGTGTTTTATCTGGATATTACGTATGTTTTGTAATGGTTTTCAAGTGTTTTTCTAGGTGTTTTTTTGCAAGTGTTTCAGAAAGCATGTTTCAGATGTTTTATTATGTTGCAAGTGTTGTATCTCGATGTTTCAAAAGTAAATCGGGTGTTGCGTCTCCCTCGCCTCTCCTCGGTGTCTTCTCCTCCTTTGGACGCCGGCTAGGCATCCTCCGCGCCCCTACTCCTCTTCCCGATGATGGTGACGTTCGGGGCGGCGGAGGAAACTTACTAGGGCGCAGACGGTCCCGCGCGGCATGCGTGTGCTGAAAGCCCGGGGCACGGGCACCAAGCGGGATGGGGCTCTGTTATCGGGATGGGGAGGCGCAGAGGGGGCGCGGGCTCCAACATGCGCGTAGACACACGTGAGTGGAGTAGCAGGCACTGCGTCCAGATGCCAGCAAGGCCCAACATATTAATTCCTTTTTTTAGCAAAATGTTCACAAGGATTACTTGTATCCACGTATACAAACCAACCAAACACTCTTCTGTAGTTCTGTGAGGTTTCGGGCCTGTCGATCAGGTTAACACGCTTTAGACGTTTAGTGCCAGGAACCAGGCCCGTAGTGAGCTATGGGCTGTGTTCCTGTGGCCCAGTCGGATGAGTAACCTGACATGTGGGTCCCATGTTCTCCCGTCTCTAATCCGTATTGCCGTGCCCTCCCTCTCCCTCTCCCTTCTTGCTCTCTCCCTCTCGTCGCCTTCTTCCTGGCCGCGCCGCCCTTACTCAGGTCTCCCCCTTAGCCGGCGAAGAGCAACCAGGTACGCGTACGCCCCTTCTCTTCCCTTCCCTTCCCTCTTTGCGAAATTGAGCACCTGGAACCCTAAGTAAGCTATTTGTATTCGGATTCGGATCTGACCCAATTTCCATGGATATTATACATGTGTATTACATACCCACTAACTTCGATTTCTAGCAAAAACAATTGTCGGATAAACCATGCCCTATAATGGATGCGCCCATGACCGTGCTGCATGTTTCAGTTGATTTATATATTTTTTTTCGAAAAAAAGGTTTTTGTGTTGCGAAATTTCAGAGCATAGGCTCCTCACTAAGTTCCGCCCCCTGTTTGGATTTTAGGCCCAGTAAATAAATAATCACATGGCTCATCAAAAGCGTGAAGGCAGCTCCGCTGATGATGATTGTACATCCAAGCGCCTCAAAGGCACCGACACTGCTTCTGAAACGGGGGGCAGTGTAGAGGCTAGTGTTTCACAGCAAATGGATGCTGAAGCTAGGAGAACCTGCCAGAAGGAAAGCGAAGTGCCATCGGACAAATGCGTTCCGGATGGGGAAGCCGCTGCAAACTCTCAGGTTTCGGGCGAGCAGAAGATGGTACTGACTGCCGTCGAGGCAGATGCGGCGGAGGACAAGGGTTGCAGGCACACTATGGAGGACGCCTGGGTGGTGCTTCCTGATGGTGATGCTGAATCCCCAGGAAGTTTGAGGTGATCATCTTTCCTGTTCATGTTAAGTACCCACGTGCATTGCTGTTCTGATGCATGTAGTTTGAGGTGTGCTGGATGGTGCAGGTGTGCACATTTTGCGATTTATGATGGGCATGGTGGTCGCTTGGCGGCAGATTATGTGCAGAAGCATTTGCATCAGAATGTCATCGCTGCAGGATTACCACGTGAGTTGGTCTGTTTACCTTTTCTGCTGCTTTTTAGTGTTTCCATTAGTTGTTGTGATGCTTTTCTTCCATATTCAACTTCTCTTATCGGCAATTTTTTGCAAGTTTCCATAGCTTAGGAACAAATAGTTCCTGTTATGTTTACCCATTTTCTTGTTAGTGTCCTGTTATGCAAAATTTCCATGATTTGCTAGTTGATTTACCATAGCACTCATATAATTAAGATATTCCCAGTTTATTTTAGATTCACCTTTGTTAAAGAATTGAAAGGCTCTGCTGTTATCTAAATACTGCCCAATTATTTTGCAGATGGATGTTAAAGCTGCAAAGAAGGCCGTAATTGAAGGTATTCAGTGCATCAAAGTTAATTATTACTTGCTCCTTGCTTGTCTAGGCACTACTAGTCTCAGGATGTACTGTAAGAGAGAAGATTCTACTTCTACTGTTTTCAGAATCTTACATTACAAATGGGTTCTATTTTATGTTTGATTCGCTCTTATACTTCCAGATTTCATAGTCTACCATTCACACAATAGAAAAACTTGACCTTCCGAAAATTATGCTGCTGCAGTGATGAGCTTGTGATAGAATAACAATTTCTTTCACTAGCTGGCATTCTAGAGTATAACACATAATTTCTAGAAAACTGTAAATGGGGATTTCCATCTTGTATGCTGTGTTAAGCTTTCAAGAGGAACAAAATCAAATTTAAAACATTAAAGGGCAGACCCAGTGCCGGAGGCTCCCACATGAGTGGGGTCTAGGGAAGGGAAAACCCGAGGCAAGCCTTCCCCCCGCAAAATCTGCGGAGAGGCTGCTTCGAACCCGCGACCTGGTGACTCAGTGAGACAGCTCTCACCACTGCACCAGGCCTGCCCTTCTAAAACATTCTCTCTATTTTTTTTGTTTTCTTGTAAGCATCTTGACTCTGTAGCTAATGTCTCTCACGTGCAAAATTGATGCTTTTCTCTCTCCTATTTTCTTCTTACAGTGTCAATTAAATGTTTTGGATCGGTAATTTGTAATTTTTCTAATGCTTATTTCTATCTGCAGGTTTCCGTAGAACTGATGAATCTTTACTGCAAGAAAGTACTAAAGGTAAGAAACAGTTCTTTTTGTTCATCTGCAATACCCACTGTGTGCTACACTATATGGGCATTTATTATATAGATTTGCTATGCCAGTAGATCTTGGGCCTAGTATAGTGACTACATACATGATAGTAACAGTACCTGGCAAGGCTAGCATGTTTGCTGATTTATTTAGTATTCTTCAGAATTACCTTCTTGTAATCTGTGACATATTACGGAGAAGTGTACTGTGTAGATACATCCTAAGGTCATATATAACCTCCTTTAGTAATGAGACATCGTGGGTGCATTGTTACGATGGTGCGGTAACCTGTAAGAGACACATTTAACTGTGTCCAGTACGTGTTGTGTGTTGCAAAGAAAATTGGTGTGTTCAAAAACACTTCTGTCTAGATTCCAGTAGTTTCCTTTAGGTTGCGTTTGTGTTGAGACTATGAATACTCATATCCTATTATCACATTCACATCTGTAGGAAATTGGCAAGATGGTGCGACAGCTGTATGTGTTTGGATTCTGGGACAGACGGTCAGTAAAAAGTACCCAGGAAAAGTTTGGATCTTGGGATTTTTTTGTCTTGTCTTTTAGAAATATTGGGGACTTTTTTATGCCATTATTTCTTTCTTCAGTAAATATGTATGTTTAATTTCCATTCTGAGTTGGAAAAGCTGGAAATTTCTTCACTGGGGGCATGATGTGTTTTATCGTACACATGCTTTCCTTAAAGTTTGCCATCCCCAAGGTTATCTGCTATAAGTTCATCTGCAAACGTCATAATTCACATATTGGTTTCTTATGTGTAAGAAACTAGATGACATGGCATGATACATTTAGTACTTGAGTGCTAAGTAATTTCATATGATTGGCATGCCTTTTTTATTTACATAATGGAAGTGTGAAATCAAATCAAAGTGAAACCCATTTAACAATGTTTCCTATTGTCTTAAAAAATCTAGGTTGTGGTTGCGAATGCTGGAGATGCTAAAGCAGTATTGGCTCGTTCTATTTCAACTGAGGGTGAAGGTGTGGTTGCTGAGACCAAAAGTCAACTAAAGGCTATCGTTTTGACAAGAGAACATAAAGCCATCTTTCCACAGGAGCGCTCCCGAATCCAAAAGGTAATATGTTTTATGTGTTCAGATTTGTTTCTTTTTCACTTTTCCTTGCCGACTTAAGTTCAGTTCCATAAGGAACTTAAACAATTTCTGTTATATGTACTGTCATTTGTTGTCACCAACTCCCTAATCCCAACTTAGTAATTGTGCTGTATCCATTTTACGTTATCATATCGTTTGTATCTAGTTTGACTATAGTAGAGATTAACTGAAGCACTGAATCCTCTTATCATGCTGATCATCTTTTCATTATTTAATTTCAAGACTGTTAACAGTTGGAGATGAATGTGTATCCATTCCGTGCATACGCACCTATATTCTATCACTCAGTTTTATTGCTAGGACTTGTGTAGTACATGGCACGTGCTTTGAAAAGAGTTGCCCTTTCATTATTTTTTTCTGCAGTCTCATTTTGTTCCCCCTGTTATGGTCTCGGTATGTACTACTATTAATTCAACTTTTGGTTCTGGAAATTAGATTTTTATTTGTATACCGATATTAACTCTTCAACCTTGTGCTGTTATTAAGGCTGGAGGTTCTGTTGGTTCTAATGGAAGACTACAAGGTCGTATTGAAGTATCAAGAGCTTTCGGTGATCGCCAGTTTAAGAAGGTTTGCTGATATAAGTTTGTTTGGTCGATACTTAAGTCTGCTCTTTTATATCTGTTCATTTGGAAAAGATATGGTGTTTGGTTACTTAGTTGAATATTTCAGCATTAATAATAAATCGAGGCATTGGTTTATGCTGAAAATAAAGTACATTTGGGGTGCAATGTACAGCAATGATCACAATATCTATTTTCTGGCTAAGTACTCTGTTGATCTAGATCAACCAGTGAAGTGTCTGACGACCTTTTCTGTGTATGCTAAAAATGGGGCTTTGCTGATTATTTGATTGTATCTAATATTAAGAAATAATAATACTGCTGCTTGAAACCTTTATAGTCGATAATGTGGAACTAAGTTACCTTAGTTGGTGGGGGTTGAGGATGTGTAATGTAAACCAGCACACCCTGCTCTTGGCTTGAATTTGGGTGAGCTACATGCAAAATGCCTTAGTTCCGCCGTGGTGGTCTAATATTTTTTTTCTCTAGGATTTAACCACTAAAGAATTTGGTTATGTAAGTTCCTCAAGCTACATAGTTGTAAATAGGTTGAGTTGATTTACTGTTTCTTAAACTGTGATTTAATTTTTTCTAATATATGATGTTCCTTTGCAAAAAAGAAATGCACAAATAAGAACCAGAGTGGATGGAAACACAAGAAAATCTGTCATAGACCTAAAATTTCTTGTATCATCACAATTGTCAATTATCTTTATGGTAATCTGTGACATACACGAGTCATGCATTTGTATTAGCACAAGAGGTTCACTTGCTGATTTATGTGCACTGTGATGGTGGACTGTACAGCTTTATTAGACAAAAAGAAAGGTTATCCTATTGTAGTGAATGATTTTTTGTGCACTCTTAAAAGGCCCATACTGTAAAGGGGAAAATGCTGGCATTATTTTCTTTTCCCTGTCAATGTGCATTTGTTGGTTTGAACTTCAAAAGAATGCAGGTTGGGTTGATTGCAACACCAGACGTCCACTCCTTTGAACTTACTAAGAAAGATCATTTCATCATTCTAGGGTGTGATGGCTTATGGGGAGTATGTTCATTTCCCTCCCTCTAGATTGTTCTGTACCAATTATTGTTTCTGAACTCGATTTGCTTTATACCTGTGTAACCAGGTATTTGGACCAGGCGATGCTGTTGAATTTGTTCAGAATCAGCTGAAGGTTCTCTCCCAGTGATTCAAAGTCTATATGTAGTTGCATTTCCCCCCTATTTACCAGATAATGTGTCCTTTTTTTTTTCTCAAACATGTAGGAGAGTTGCGTATCATTATATTAAGAAGAAACAGATCTACTATGTTAAAAACCAGTTAGACTTATAATCAGAAGACACTGTTAGGGAATCTGTAACCCTATTTAGACAAATTCATATTAAATTCACTGGTTAAAATGTTTACCCAGTGTTACATAGCATGTGTTTTACATACTAGCTATTTATTACGGAACCTGAATGGCATACTTGAACATAGATGATAGTTATTTCTTATAACTTACTCCCTCTGTTCCAAATTATAAGTCGCTTTGACTTTTTTGGTACATTCATTTTGCTATGCGTTTAGATATAATAATATGTCTAGATACATAGCAAAATGGATGAACCGAAAAAGTCAAAGCGACTTATAATTTGGAACGGAGGAAATAGTTCTTTTTCTGTTTTTCACCCATAGCTGCCCTGCTCTTTTACCAGCATTTTATTCAATTTACATATACTGCAGGAGACCTCATCAGCCACACTTGTAGTGCGCCGCCTTGTGAAGGAAGCTGTTCGCGAGAGGCGTTGCAAGGATAACTGCACTGCTGTTTTGATTGTCTTCAAGCACTAGCGATCGGCCTAATTCCCTTATGCTTTCGGCAGGCTGGAAAGGATTAGCTGATAAAGAACAATGTTTGAAGTGTAGCTAGTTGAACTTGGAACTCTTGTTTTGTCTGTTTTCATTTGATGTGACCTATTAATAAACCATCCATATTCATTTGGAAATTACTAGAAATCAGACTTGACAATCACAAGTTCGGATGTCTGTTGTCTGGAGTTATCTGGGTCAGGGGTCGCTGGTCGGCGGAACACTCAGCTCTAGAAATTACTGGTACTTGTTTTCCAACTCCGTGAACCAGAATTAGTTTACCAGTATTTTTATAATTATATGATGACTAGAATTTTGGGTGACTATCAAGCTAACTTTTCCTAGTAGGAAAACCAATTTTACATTGTTCTCAAAAGAAAATGCTCAAAGGTACTACTTTGTCGCACAGTCAAATTGATACCTGGTCCCAGGGGGAAAGGGAGAGGGAGATAGTGGAGTGGAGAGTGATTGGTTTGGTATGATGTTTTAGTTTATACCGTAGAGAAAAACTAATAGGGTGATGATGGTGTTATAATTTTCAATTTTTTCTAATAAAGCATTTCACGTGATCTGACTTGCTTTAAATCAAAGCTGCTGTTAACACAAGTTGCGTAGGGCTGCAGTCTCGATCTCAGATCCAAGTACGAGTATTCAAAAAATGTTCTTTATGTATGAGAAAATAGTCAATGGTTATTAGCTCGAAGTTCTATGCTGCCACTTGTTCAGTTTTCAACGGGAAAGGAAGCTGCAATGTAAAGTTTTTGAGACTCACGTGTACCGAGGTCATTGCGATCAATGAGGCCCTGATCCGTAAATTGGATTAGGCTGTGTTTAGTTGTAGGAATTTGGATTTTGGGGCTACTGTAGCATGTTCGTTTTTATTTGGTAAATAGTGTTCAAACATGGATTAATTAGGCTCAAAACGTTCGTCTCGCAATTTCCCACCAAACTGTGCAATTAGTTTTTCTTTTCGTCTACATTTAATGCTCCATGCACGGACTGCAAACATTCGATGTGACAGGTACTGTAACAAATTTTTGGAAGTTGAGGTGAAACTAAACAAGGGCTTAGTCATAGTCAGCGCTCAAAAGGAGCAACAGTCGTTCGTCCTTAAAGGTAGACAGTACTGGCTGTGAATTGGGGAGGAAGCATCATATCTTTCGACTTTTCTTGCTTGATCCGTGAGAACGGTGTCAACATATGTGCTTATATTATAGTACTATATATTGCCCCGTTCGTTTCGCTGAAAAAACAAGCCGAAACACTGTTCCGGCTGATTTGTTGTGAGAGAAAAAACTATTCCGGCTAAAAAACAAGCTAAAAAGTACGGATTATAAGAGAAGCGAACATGGCCATTATGTACGTGGAAGAGAGAACATAGTTATAGCTTTTATTTAGGAATTACAAAGTTACAAAGTATGGACTCATATTTATGACTTGTTTGGATTGGAAGATTTTTATAAATATTTCAAAGGAACCTGACTCCTATGTTTGCTTACATCACATAATGTTCGTAATGAAGGAATGCAGTTTTTGTTTCCTATAAAAAGACTCTTTCCTACATGATCATTCACTTCGTGCTCTTGCAACATGTGAATGGAGGGAGGAAGGGATGAGCAAGTCCTTATTCACTACGAGGAAGGAATAAACATGTACTTATATTCCTAGGTTCTAAGCACTCATTCCTATAAAATTATTGTGCTTTTCAGTCCTCTATTTTCTACCTACACTTAGTTTCCTATTAATGTGTTTTCTCTCTTTTCTCTGTTTTGCATTTCTTAGTTCCAAATAGGCCTTTAGTATTGTGTGGCTAACAAGTGGGCCCATGCAAAAATGCTAGTCCTATGGATTAAGGACACAAGTAGTTGTGGGTATATGAAATATGAAACTAATATCGAAAGTTGTAGTTCCTTGGTAATTACGTGCTAACATTTATAATTATGTGAAATTAACTCCTCGTTTTAACTTAATCTTCCAAGTTAGCATTTAATTGTTGGTTTAGTAGAACAATAGGTATAGTGCCAAAGCATTGTTGACATATGAATCTAATTTATAGTTACTCATGTAGAGTTTACTTTAATGAAGATACTTTTGACCCGATGAGTACTCCACGTTGATTAGGAAAAAAAATCCATGATACTCTAGTACTGCCTACACAATATTTAGGGCTTGTTTGGATTCTCTCGTATTCATTTTAATCAACATGTATTGAGGTGGATTAGGATGTAAGTTAGTTTAAATTCCATTCCAATCCACCCAACACACGTGGATTGAGGTAGATATGAAGCTGTGCAAACCATCCTTTAGGTGGATTAAAGAGTGAAGTGATTTATTTCGTCTGACTTTTTTATTTCCTGATGAAGTGTCCTCAAGTCTCATCTACTCTGCTTTTGACTTGGACTAACCGTTCTAATCGTACGAGTTACAAAAATAAGTGTTTGTACGTCCAATACCAATAAATATTAAAACAAGTGAACCCTGCATATGTGCATGTTTGCTTGTATACTCTTATAGCTTTTTTTCGCGAACGTGCAATCATGCGCGTGATTCATTAAGAGGAAGGTATACTCTTACGGCTAGAAGAGACTATTGATGATTCTCATATTCAGCAAGAGGAAGGTAATACCAAAATTTTGTCTATCGACGTCTACGTATTTAATTTGGATCAAAAGGAGTAATTGCGTGCAAGAAACAGGTGTACAGAATTATCAACGGATAGGTCCAGGCACAGAGTAGATCGCTTTCATGTATTAAGTCCTTGTGATGATGTACATTCAACTTTTTTTTTAATTGGTTTGGATTTGAAGCTTCTTCCTTCTCCTCCTCAAGTCACGTTCACATACAGACCAATCAGCTCCCATCCCAGGCCACACCAGACACCACACACCACTCGCAGAGCCAGGCATTGCACTTGCCTTGCACAAGACCGGAGGAGCCCCACGCCCGGCGGCGGACGGAATGCGGCTGCGCCTGCCCCAGTACGCCTCGCTCACTCCCCTCCCTCGTTCCTTATCCCCGCTCCGTTCGTCAGATCGTCTCTTGGGACGGTCGTACTCGGTCCTCCAGGATCTGAAGGCATGCGCTGCCTTTTTCAGTTTTCGTTTCCTTTTTCCTTTTCTTGGCAACACGCATCCAAGAAAATCTGCAGAAATCAGGCAAATTGGGATTTGGGCCCAGACCTATCCTGATACAGTCAGTTGGTGCTTGGTAGCTGATTGGCCGCGTGATTCGAGCGCCAATATTTGCCCAATCAGTAGCCTCCGCTTGTTGAAATCTTTGTCCCGTGTGGACTCGGTCGTTGAAACCCGTCGCCTGATCTGATTACTTGGGTTGTTTTCCTTGCTGTTGAGCTTTGTGATATGAAGCGGCGATTTGTTCATTGCATTTTGGAGCTTTTACTGCCTGGTGAGCGAAACGATATATCTTCTATTTGGAGTTTCAGCTACTGGGGTGTCGTTTCTACATTGCAAGATTTGTCGGTGTTAGTATTCGTACGCACATAATTCTATTCAGATGGACATACTAGACACATCTGAGAATGCAATCTCTAAACCAAAGAAAGAAAGAAAGAAAGAAAGAAGGTAGTGAGATATTGCTAAAATCCTTGGCCTCAGCTGTGCAGCCACTGAGTTGATGTTCTCGAATTACTTCTCTTTCCTGTCCAAATTGGAGCGTTACACCTTACTCCGGCCAATAGTTTAAGTAAATTCTACTGCTCTAAGGAGCCAGTAAAGTATGGTGTATCAATCATCTCTGCTCTAATGCGGTATGAGTTGTAATCTTGTGTTACAAGCAGCGGCAATTAACCTGGTTTATAGATCTGTTGATAAATTGTCTGAAATCTCTGAGAAATTACTTGAAATCTGGCATTCTGTTGACCATTCCAATTCTCCACGTTGATGATGTTGGTATCTTGAAATTTTTGTAGTAACCAGTTAGCAATTCAACAAAATGTGCGTGTTTCATTGTTATGCGCCTAGTCTTGCTTTATTTTATTTCAGAAGCAAAACAGACTGCTGAGTAGTTGGACATTCTAGTAAATAAATTCTTATAGTTTAAGCATTAGTTTGCTATTTGAATGCTTTGCTAACGCTGAACCTATTGCAGGTGAACATTCTGCTCTGATGGCAGAGCAGTATTACGCTACGAGCAGCCTCGTGGTTGGGTATGCTCTGTGCTCGAGTTTGCTCTCAATCATCAACAAATATGCCGTGACAAAGTTTGGTTACCCTGGCCTCCTAACTGCTCTACAGTACTTGACATCTGCCGCTGGTGTTTGGATCCTTGGAAAGCTAGGCTTTCTCACCCATGACTCCTTCAACTTGGAGACCGCAAAAAAGTTTGCACCGGCTGCTCTTGTCTTCTACCTAGCCATATTCACCAACACAAATCTCCTCTGCCATGCCAATGTAGATACGTTCATAGTTTTCAGATCCTTGACCCCGCTTTTGGTTGCTATTGCCGACACAACTTTCCGGAAGCAACCATGTCCTTCAAAGTTCACATTCCTATCCCTTGTGGTCATCTTGGGAGGAGCAGTTGGCTATGTGATGACAGATTCAGCATTCAGCCTCACAGCATACTCATGGGCGCTTGCATATCTGGTGACCATAACAACTGAAATGGTGTACATCAAGCACATTGTGACAAACCTGGGGCTCAACACCTGGGGCTTTGTGCTTTACAACAACCTTCTTTCCTTGATGCTGGCCCCGATCTTTTGGTTCCTTACAGGGGAGCACAAGTCAGTCTTTGCAGCGATGGAATCAAGGGGCGAAGGCTGGTTTCACCTGGACGCCTTTGTAGCAGTGGCGTTGTCATGCTTGTTTGGGTTGCTCATTAGTTTCTTTGGTTTTGCAGCGAGAAGAGCTGTATCAGCAACCGCATTTACCGTCACCGGGGTTGTGAATAAGTTCCTCACCGTGGCTATCAATGTCATGATCTGGGACAAGCATGCAGCTGCATCCGGTTTGGTTTGCTTA